GCAGGTCCCGTGCGTCAAGTTGTCGAATGGCAGTTTCTAGTCCAGGACGAGCATGCTTGTTTGGGTGAGCATATTTGCTCCTAATTCCAGGCCTCATTCGCTCACGCTTTCCACTGACGCCTAGAATCTCAACCACTCCATCACGTATCACACCTTTTGCTCATACATCTGCTTTCCGATATCTTGATTAGTGTATCTTCTTCCCGCTTTATAGAATAGATGTACGGTACTTCCCAATTATAGACACGTACCTAGACTGCTTATTTCCGATTTCTGTCTCGTTCTATAATCTGTTATGTAGGCAACTTTGTTGTAATCCGTGTATCCCTTAGTCTACTGTGCATGTATAAATAGCCTTGGAAATTGCGGTTATGATGCGATGGCGAGCCAGCAGCCAATATTGCAGAGCAATGCGAACGCCGGCCGGGTCCCACCGGCCGAAAGAAGGCTGCGAAGGCGACAGCGACGGCGTTCAATCTAGTATCACCAGGCCAAAGCCATAATCCGGACCTGCCAAGTGTAGGAGGTGCCAGAGAGGAACTCGCCGCTGATGTAAGTGCCTTTCCTTCATTAGTCCAGAATGATTTAAGCTTACCACAGCACGGAGGAGACGGTTCGATGTCATCATTGGGACGTTCGTCGTAGTGTAAGCTTCTTTCGAGTACTTATTTAATTCTCGTGTATATTTCTTTCAATAAAAGCAGAATCCTGGCGGAAAGGGTTCGAACTTAACAAGGAGAGAAAAATATTTTATTGCGAATGTATGGCTACATAGATACCATACCGCAGGCAAAGCCTAACATGCTGAAGACTACCAAACCACGTGAAATCTTTTTGAAACTCACTAAACCATCTTCTCCCGCACCCTTGCTTTCCGGTTCGCCTCTCGTTCGTCGGGAGCAAGGAAGCAAGCTCGAGCTACACGCCAGGAATGAGCACGAACGTGCGGAGGAACCTCAACAGCGTACGTCCACCTTCCCCTCATGCAGCTGACCACTTACTAAATC